GGCCTTGGTCGTTGTGTAGTGTATAAAAGGTAAAATATTAAAATTGTAATGAATTCCAAATCATGTATGTTATTGCCACCCTCTTTTAACGGTAGCACATGATTTGTTTGGATCAATTATATTAGAGAATGTGGGAGTTCTTCATCTAAAGAAGTTGGGCCTCAGGAGCCACAAAGATGGGAGATTGAAAAGGTAGTCTTTTTTATGCATGGCGGCATATTGCCTTGGATTTAGATACGTTAGGATGTAAATGAGAAATGCACAATTTTCCGACACGTGCACCCTTCTTAACTTTGAAAATTTTAAAATTTGGAAATATCAAGAAAGGCTACTGGCCTTTTAAAATATTATTTATTCACATTTTGTTTTGTTCTCAATTACTTAATATGTTCTCTTTGATGAAAATACAACATTTTCTACACAGGAGGCAGTAGTCTTCAGTTACAAAAGCCAAAAGTTTTGCGCCAAAAAACTGAAACGTCAAACCCGTAGGCCTGAAGTACGTTTTGTAAATCAGTTTAAAATAAAAAATATATATATGTGTGTGTATTCTACAAGATATAATCTCTTGTGTATGCTATTTGCAGGTTGGTGATAGGTTTAGTTGTAGGCATGGGAAGAAAAGTATTGTTGGTCTAATAGTAAAACAAGAAGACTTGCCGTTTACAGAATTTGGCATTTGCCCAGATCTGATTATTAATCCTCATGGATTAATTGGGTAAGAAGATCCTTTATAAATCAACGGAGTATTTTTTTGTAGTCCAAAATCTGTTTTATTATATTTTGGCTGGTTTCTTTGTCTTCAACTACTTGGCTGGTTCCTTTGTCTTTAACAAATATGTTTTATTATTGTTATTAATATTATTATATTAGTTAAGTCTTGAGAATATGGTAGGTGTTATTAGTACTATTGCTATTATATTAGTTAAGTCTTGAGAATATGGTAGGCTTTGATTTAGGCATTAATAGGGGTTATTTTGTTTCCTTATATTAGCACCATTTTTATGTATATAGCCACTTGTATTATGTAATTAAGTGAAATGTGAAAACCTTTGATTATTTCTTCATGGTATCAGAGATCGTCTGTTCCATAGTCACCTAAATTGCAGTACGTTCCGGTACGGGTACGAAATTCACTAGAGGTGACGAATTCGGTACAAATGGGGGTGAAGAAAATTTCGGTACGAAGTGGTACGGTGTACCATGTATTCGGTTCGGTGTACCAAAAATCAAAACATAGGTAAACAAAATTTATGAATATCAATAGATAACGATAAAAAAAGGTTAGTAGATAAAATGACTCAAGAAATAAAATTACAAAAAAAACTTCATAAGACACTAAGACAGAATACATGGTGTGACTCGACACGCTAAGTTGAAACTTAACAACTAATATAATTGGATGGTTAAACAAACTCATCTAAGTTAAGAACTTAGACTATTGTTTTGAGAAATTTAATTAAAACTCTTGAAAATTTGAGCCAATAAGAAGCCTTAACACAAATCATGCAATCCCAGATAGTAGAAAGCTCACAAGTTCACACAATTCACGCTTTGATCAAGTATTTTTTTCTCTTAAACGATACAAACACTCACTTTAGAATTGGTCAGGCATGAAGAGTCCAAAAAAAAAAATTCTTTTTACTTTTCTTTAAAAAAAATCTGCTCTTTGAGACTTAACACAGGCTGTATTTTTTTCAGAAAGGTAAGAATGCAGTTTTTTTTAAAAAAAAAATGCATTGTTCACAATAATTTGAATTTAAGCTTAAAAAGTCAGATTCATAGCCATGTAACTCTTTGTGTTAGATCATGCCTAGAAAATCTTCGTCTTTAACTTTAAAAATGAGATCAGGTTGCAGCACTTTTGAAAAAACAAATCAGTTTCTTAAAAACTGTGAAAAAATCTTTAGCTTAAAATGCAAAGGGGCAGTTGCATACCCCCACACTTAGTTCATGCACTGTCCTCAGGGCTATTGATATAAGAATGAACTACTGAAACTAGAAAAACAATGATCCTAGCACTAAATTGAACGATGCAGAGAGATAAGAAGAAAAAAATAGTATGTAAAAGCAAATGTAAATGTAACTAAAATGCCTGTTTTTTTTTGTTTTTTTGTGCTGGGTTGCCTCCCAGTAGCTGCCGTGTTTAAGAGTCCTGGCCAGACTATCTCGCCTTGCTTCATGGCTCCTCGAGGAAGATTTCCTCGACCGTAGCAACCTGTTCACCGTGGTGATATACCTTCAATCTATGCCCATTAACTTTAAAAATCTTATTATTATTCAAATCCCTGATCACCACAGCCCCATGAGGAGAGGTTTCTAACACTTCCATGCCATCTAGACCTTAACTTGCCCGGAAACAAATGCAATTTAGAGCTATACAACAGCACCTTATCACCTATGTCAAAGTGTTTCCTAGTGAGTTTTGCATCGTGAAAGGCCTTAGCTTTACCCTTATAAATTACCGAGTTATCATAAACTTCAAGTCTTATTTCTTCTAACTCCGACAGTTGCAATTTTCTCTCTTTTCCAGCTGCATCATAGTCTAAGTTAACTTCCCTAACAGCCCAATAAGACCTATGTTCAATTTCAACTGGTAAATGACAAGCTTTTCCAAATACCAGCCTATAAGGTGACATCCCAATTGGTGTTTTATAAGCTGTCCTATAGGCCCATAAAGCTTCATCTAACCTTAAACTCCAATCCTTCCTATCAGGCTTAACCACTTTTTCCAAAATATGCTTAATTTCCCTATTAGATATTTCGGCTTGACCATTAGTTTGAGGGTGATAAGCTGTGGAAATCCTTTGGGTTATGTGATATTTTGAAAACAGTATCTCCAAGGTTTTATTGCAAAAGTGTGTTCCCCTATCACTTATAAAAAATTTAGGTACTCCATACCTATTTATGATCAGAGATTGGGCATGTTTAGCTACTGTCTTAGCATTATCAAACTTTGTAGGAACCGCTTCAACCCATTTTGAAAGATAACCAACAAAAAGCAATATGTAATTAAAGCCAAAAGAAGAAGGAAAAGGCCCCATGAAATCCATTCCCCAAACATCAAACAATTCACAGACATAGATATTATTCAAAGGCATTTGAGACCTACTCGACAGATTTCCAGTTTTTTGACATCTTGAACAATTTTTGCAGAATTCATAAGCATCTTTATAAATAGTAGGCCAATAAAAGCCAGCTTCTAGGACCTTATGAGCAGTTCTTCTAGGGCCAAAATGACCACCACTCTCTAATGTATGGAAAAAACTTAGTATGGAAGTAATTTCAGAACCCCCCACACACCTCCTAATAATTTGGTCAGAACACATCTTCCACAAATAAGGGTCGTCCCAAATATAAAACCTAGCTTGAGACTGAATGTGGTCTCTTAAGTGCCTAGGCATGCCTGGTGGGAATGTGTGGGTTACCATGTAGTTGACCAAGTCAGAAAACCAAGGAACAAATGAGGCAAAGAACAGATTTTCATCAGGGAAAGTCCCGGTGAATGGATTTAAGTTCTCTTTATCATGTTTTATCCTACTTAAGTGGTCAGCAACCTGATTTAATCTTCGTGCCCTATCTTTTATTTCATATTTAAACTCCTCCAGTAAGAGCACCCATCTTAACAACCTCTGCCTAGAATCTTTCTTACTGATTAAGTATTTTAGAGCAGCATGATCAGTGTAAATCGTCACTTTAACTCCCAGTAAGTACATTTTAAACTTTTCTAAGCCATATACCACAGCATACATCTCTTTTTCAGTTGTTGTATAGTTTATTTGAGCAGAATCAAGAGTGCAACTAGCGTAGTATATAACATGGGACTGATTTCCTGATTTTTGTCCTAAAACAACCCCCACAGCCCTATCACTAGCATCACACATCAATTCAAAGGACAGTTTCCAGTTGGGTGGTTGGACAATTGGTGCTGAAATCAGTTTTTCTTTTAAAACATCAAAAGCCAGCTTACATTTGTCATAAAAAATGAATGGGGTGTCTTTTGAAAGAAGATTCGTAAGGGGAAGGGCTATTTTAGAAAAATCTTTGATAAACCTCCTATAAAAACCAGCATGCCCAAGAAAAGATCTTATTTCTTTTAAAGTTTTAGGGTAGGGCAGAGCCTTAATAATTTCCACTTTTGCTGGATCAACTTCCATTCCTTTTGAAGAAACAATATGACCCAAAACCACTCCCCTTTCAACCATAAAATGACACTTTTCAAAATTTAAAACCAATTTTGACTCAATGCATCGTTTTAAAACCAAAGTCAAATTATGCAAGCACTCTTCAAAATTATTTCCATATACTGAAAAGTCATCCATAAAAACCTCCATTATTTTAGCGGAATAATCAGAAAATATGCTCATCATGCATCTTTGAAAAGTAGTCGGTGCATTACACAAGCCAAAAGGCATTCTTTTAAAAGCATATGTGCCAAAAGGGCATGTAAAAGTGGTTTTATCCTGGTCTTGAGGGGCAACAGGCACTTGAATATAACCAGAATAACCGTCTAAAAAGCAGTAATGAGATTTTCCAGCTAGCCTTTCAACTAAAGAGTCAAGAAAAGGTAAAGGAAAATAGTCTTTTTTAGTGGCTTTGTTCAGTTTCCTATAATATATGCACACCCTCCAACCAGTTTGTTTTCTAACAGGAATCAACTCACCTTGTTCATTTAATTCTACAGTAGTCCCCCCTTTTTTCGGTACAACATGAATTGGACTTACCCACTCTGAATTAACTATGGGATATATGACTCCTGCTTGAATCCATTTTAAAAGTTCTTTCTCAACTACCTCCATCATAGGAGGATTAAGTCTTCTTTGATTTTCTACTCTTGGTTTCGCATCAGGTTCTAGACTTATCCTATGACTACACAGAGTTGGGTCAAGACCCTTAATGTCCGCTAAAGTCCAGCCTATGGCTTCACCGTGTTCCTTTAAAACTCTCAATAACATTAATTCTTGTAGTTCAGTTAAAAGATTTGATATTATCACAGGAAGTGTTCCATTTTCACCCAAAAAAGCATATTTTAGATGAAGAGGCAGATCTTTAAGTTCAATTTCAGGAGGAGAAATCAAAGAAGTGGTTTGGTCTTAGGAACCTCCAAATTCAGTTTTAAAACAGTTTTAACATCTTCCACAGAAGACAAATTTTCAGCATAAAAGCAAACATCATCAGGAAGTGAAAATTTTAATTTTTCAATCTCAAAAGGGTCTAAACTTTCAGTTAAAACAGTGTACAGAGCATCGTCATTTGATTTACTGAAAACTTCTTTAGTGATTTTATCAATTACATCCATAGCAAAGACTTGATTTTCATCATGAGGGTGTTTCATTGCTTCAGAAAGACTAAATTTAATTATCTCACTATCAAACTCCATTGTTAAAGTACCCCCATGAACATCAATTTTAGCCCGGGCTGTTTTCAAGAATGGTCTTCCCAACAAAATGGGAATGTCGGTTTTATCAACTCCCATATCTAGAATGTAAAAATCAGCAGGAAAAATGAAGTCATTCACTCTAACCAAAACATCCTCTAAGATCCCCTCGGGGTAGGTGTGACTCCTATCTGCTAGTTGGATTACTACCCCTGTTCTTTTTAGGTCCCCAATGTGGAGTTGTTCAAAAATATCCTTAGGCATCACATTTATTGAAGAACCTAAGTCTAACATTGCCTTGTCAAATTTTAAGCTCCCTATCTGACATGGAACAGTAAAAACTCCAGGATCCTTACATTTTTGGGGTAATTTATTCTGAAAAACAGCACTAATATTCTCACTCATCAACACCTTTTCGGTCCCAGAAAGCTTATTTTTATAAGTGCAAAGTTCTTTAAGAAATTTAGCATACTTGGGAACTTGTCTGATTGCTTCTAAAAGAGGGAGATTTATTTCCACCTTTTTAAAAGTTTCTAACATCTCTTGATCTAACTCCTTCGTCTTAGGTTGTTGACTTAGAAACTTACTGGGAAACGGGGCTTTTTTATTTTTAAACTCATTGATTCTATTTTGAAAATCAATTTCTTTCTGTTTATCAACCTGAGTGATTTCATTTTCAACAAATTCAGCATTTTGATTTTCAAAAGAAACTTGATTTGGATGAAGTTCTTTCTCCCTTTCATCCCTACTGACAAAACTAGGTTCCTGCAGTTTTTTTTTCTTATTTCGCAGCTCAATTGCACTCAAATTCTCTTTAGGATTCAAAAATGGTTGAGAAGGAAACCTATTATTAAGTTGTGCTTGCAAATTATTCACTGTAACTTCGGTGGCAGACTGTTTTTCTTGCATTTGCTTAAGAGTTTGGTCAAAACCAGAGAATTTGTCATCCATTTTCTTAAGAATCTGTTCCAAAAGTTGAGTGTTTTTATCAAAAGAGGGCTGTTGTGATGGATTGTTAAAATTCTGAAAATTACCCCTAGGAGCCTGGTAGTTCTGCCCATTACCATATCTGGGAATTTGGGTGGTCTGTCCATCCCTCATTGTAAGAATTACAAAAACGATCGTATTTTCTTTGATTATTATTATAAAAAACAGCATTTACCTCGGGGTGTTGCAAGGTCGGACAAGCATCAGTAGGGTGTCCTTCCAAGCAACAAACCCCACAAGGTTTTCCCTTAACCCCTCCGACAGTTGTAAGTTGTGAAATGGCATTGGTAAGTTCAGTAAGTTTGTTTTCAATAAAAGAATTACCAATTTCATTCACTTTCTTCACTAAAGTCTCCCTAGTACCAAACTGTTGGGTGTTTTGAGCTATCAAATTAAACAATTCCCTAGCTTGTTCAGGTGTTTTATTAACCAAGGCACCCCCACTGGCAGCATCCACATTGCCCCTCTCAGTAGGAAGTAGTCCTTCATAAAAATACTGGATTAAAAGTTGTTCGGAAATTTGGTAATGAGGACAGGAGGCACAAAGTTTGTTAAATCTTTCCCAATATTCAGAAAAATTCTCCCCAATCATTTGTTTAATCCCACATATTTCTTTCCTAATTGAACCTATCCTAGAAGCTGGAAAGTATTTTTCTAAAAAAGCTTTATGTAGGGCATTCCTAAAAGAACCGGCTGGCATGTAGTACAACCAGTCCTTTGCCTTATCAGCTAAAGAAAACGGGAAAGCACTCAACCTAATTTGGTTTTGAGCAACCCCTTCAGGCACCATAGCACTGCAAGTAATCAGAAATTCAGAGATGTGCCTGAAGGGATCCTCTCCAGGTAGACCATGAAACTTAGGCAAAAGATTTATAAACCCAGAATTCAGCTTTAAAGGTTTCTCTAGCTCAGCATATGTGATGGAAAGCGGTTGAACATTTAGGTTAGGGGCTGCCAATTCTCTTAAAGTTGTCATCTTTGGTTCAGATTTTATTTCAAAAAGATTATCAAAGATGCTATCAGAACGATAATCAAACAAGTCGGGAGCAAGAAAGTTGGCAGGTTCGTCCTCAGATTCAACAGCACAAGCACTAATTAAAGGCGTAGGTTCAGCCACACTTACCTCGCAGCTTTTACTTTTTAATTCAAACTCACCAATTACTCTTCCACTCCTCAAGCGCATGCAAAAATTCAATAATCTGCAACTCAAAGATAAAGCAAGTATTAGAATTCTTTTACTTGATATAAAAATCTAAGAACAAAGTGCATTAGTTGTTCAGCTTACTTTACTTTAAAAAAAATCATTTTAATGAGACTCCCTAATCTGAATAATTAAAATCTGCAGTAATGCATCTTTGAAAACAGTGTTTTTAAAGAGTTTTTAGGCAAGTTCTCAATAAAATAAATTCATGTTTCAAGAAAAAGAAGTCAGTAAAGTTAGTTCCTACTTCCCTAATTGTTACTAGTTAACCATATAAAAATATTTTGATCAAACTTAGATTGGAAACTCCTCTTAACACCATTTTCCTAAAAAAAACTTTACGCTCCCAGGACCATATTTGTTCAAAATCTGCAGTTAGTAGAGTAAAAGATTGAGTTTAAAAACTGTTAATAACTCTATTTATTTTTTTAAGTAAAAAGTTAGCCAAGGATAAAAAAACGTAGGGACTCATAACAAACTGATTACAAACAAGACACAACTGCACCTAGGGACTGACTTAGACTTTTTTTTAAAAAAAACTGACTTATTAAGCTATAATAACCAACATAATAAAAAGGACTTTTTTTTCTTAAGTGTTTTGTAAACAATAAGCAAACCAATTCTTATTAAAAAAAATTATCTTTCCCCGGCAACGGCGCCAAAAATTTGATAGGCGTGTCGTAGCACCTAAAAAATTAATTTAATATTTTCCTTTACTTAGTTCCTCCTTGTTAAAATAATATTTATTAAACATGTAAATAGGATAAGTAAGGGTCGATCCCACGAGGAAAGATGCTTTTCAGGTTATGAAAATCGGTTTACTTTGTCACTTTTTATTGAGTAAAAACAACTATCTAAAATCTATAAGCTAAATTAAAAGATGGGGGGGGTTTGAAAACGTGTTTTCTAAATAAAGTAAAAAAACTAACTAAAGTGACACACCACACCAAAACAAATCTCGAAACAAACCAAGGATAAAAGCAGAACATAACTCCACCAAGAAGCCCAAACAAAGAAGACAANACCAACCCTTAGATTACTACTAAGAATAGTGCATTAAGATTTGTGGAAAACATCACCGTAACAATCTTGCAGTAACACGAAGGTTATTTAACAAAATCAATTTGAGAACCTTGATTAGCAAAAACCACTTAACGAGGCGGCCTAGGTTAATCAAGTGACACTTAGCTTCTAGAAATGTTCGGCTATTTAAAGCATTTTGGACTTTAAAAGAATATCATTTTAAATTGGATTAGGTCGCGATCCTAATTTGACCCAACTTAAGTAAAATCAATTGAAAAATAGTTCTCAAACACCTTTGAATTAATTTAAAAGTAGCAAAAGCTTGAATTATTTTCAGATTATAAAACTTGTTGTAAAAGTTTAAACCCATAGAGAGATTCAATTTTAAGCAACAAGATTCAATACTTCTTCCAAAAATTCTGGTTTCATATGTTATTTTTTACGAAATCAGACCTTAGATGACATAAAAACACAAAGAACACTCTCAAAGAATGCTTCTAAAACACAAACTTGTTCCGGAACTTGGACAGTATTGAAACCAAACATGTTTAGAAAGTTACATAATGAAAAATCAATAATGCTATCCACTGCCAGTATAAGGCAATAAACGCATAAACCCATATTAAATTGAAAACAAACTTTGGTTTTAAATAGCCATCACAGATTCAGAACTAAGAAAAAATAAATTGGAAATATGTTCCATATAACTGAAGGAAACAAAACAACACAAATTTGAGAAGGGAACAAGGGAATTAAGAATTCAAAACAAATTCTACTTTGACAAAACAGAAGAAAAAAAATAGAGAAAGGGAAGGGTTTCGGATGCAAGATCCGAACCCCCCTGGGGTTATTACCCTATGCGTTGAGCTCGAGTTCTTGCTCTCGATATATGGTGGTGAAGTTCTTCGCCGCATCCCCCTCGCTTTATAGGCGCCAGGTTCATCTCTTCCTTATTGGATTTGGATTCTTGACGCTATTTTCTTGCTGCGATTAATCTGGTGTTACACAGCTGGAATTGAATTGAGAAGGAGTAGGAGTCTTCGGCTACTCTCTCACACGCCTCTTTTTCTCTCTGATTTGCGTTCTTGAGAGGCGATGAGATGGTTGAGGCTCATATGACGGGTTCATCCGGGTAAAGTGGAGGGCCGGGTCAGGTAATTGAAAGTGCAGCCCAAAAACAACCTTATTTCTTCTTTTCTTCTAAATTGCTGCGGAGGCCCATTGCAAAATCTTCAGCCCATGTTTTTCAGCTCCAACAACATATCTAAACAAGCTTGTCAAGGAAAATATTGGATCCAACGAAATAACATTTTAAATATACTCTAAAAATGTGTATTATGAATATATTTTGTGAATAATGCCTAGGATGCAAATATGATCATTTAAGTGTAAAAATGCACCTTTTAACTCATAAAAATACTGATTTAGTGGAGATTAAATAAAGAATCTTTTGGACTCAACACCTTCATTATATAAGAATCGCATATTGGACTACATAAAGGCGAGTTTGATTTTCTTTTTTTGTTTTTTTACGATTTCATTCATTTTGGTATAAGTGTTGTTTTCTGCTATTGAAATGGTTTAAGATATTCGACTTCATGTTAACTTGTAGACAAAGTTTCTGATACCATCTACCGAGTCATCTCAGAACAAAATATTGAGTGGTGTTGGGGAGAGATTAAGAGGTTACAAGCGTTCCTTACGACAGATATATCTTAGGAAAGGTTTAACAAAGGAAGACTTGTATAAGTTACCCCTTGCTCAGTCATGCACTGATGGTCTCACACGTCCTAGTGGAGTGGATGATGCCATGTGGACTGGCTTTGTCACTTTGTGCTTTTCACAAGAGTTTGAGGTTAGCCAAATTATTTATTGACATTAAAAGTATGAATGAATGTATTATAAATCTAGATGTGGAGTATGATTTTTAAATGTATAAGTGTATCATTATATTTATATGCAGAAGAAGTCGTTGCATGGGAAGAAAGCAAATCAAAGTTTTGCAATTGGTTTTGATAAGTTTGTATGTCTGTGAATCTATTTATTTCACTCTTTTTGGTTAATATTCAAGTTTAAGATACATTACAAATGAACAAGCTTTTTATGTATTGGTGCAGGAAAGGCAACATGGAAGAGAACCTGGTCCTATTGAGAGGTTTGTTAAAACCCGCGAGAAGAAAGATAAGACATTCCACGAACCCATCACAACACAATTTGTGGTAAAGACATATATATAATTCATTTAGGCATTATTCAGGTGGAGTATAACCTTTTAAGTGATAACTAATGAATTTTTTTTGTGAGTTAGAAGTCAGCCATTGATATTGTTAAAGAGAAGACAGGATTATGTGAATTTTCAGAGGCAACTAAAAAGGCAGAAGAAATTGCTTATACAAAACTAATGGGTCCTATACCAGAAAAAGGTAAAGTTGCAGGGCTAGGTCGTGGAGTATATGCGAGAGATTTATGTAAACGTGGATGTGAGGCTGGATCACCTGCTGTGGTAAAGCTTTCAAAAAAAATGCAAAGAATGGAAGATGAAAATAAAATGATGCGAGATCAAATTGCCGTTCTAATGTCTAAATTTGGCGATCATGGTTCAGTACATGATTCACCGCTGAATGGAGGTAGCTTTCATGAAGTATTGAGACATGATACATCGATAACAAAGAGCGACTATCGTGAAAGATCAAGGAATAACACACTCTGTCCTCATGATTCGATCCATAAACCACCGCTTAGGAAAGAAGGTTCTCTTGAAGGCTCAATGCCTGGTACACCCACCGATTTTGGTTCAGGACATGTTTCACATTTATCATGTGGTGCCCATTTCAACTCTAATGCTGCAGGTATGGACAAATAGGTCAGTGGTACTTGACGTCATGTAATTATTTTATATTTTAACATTTCCTAATCATATTTTTTAAGATCACCTGCAAGAAAGAGATTTAAGTTCATCAAAACAGCTCAACGAAATGGAATGTGGACTGAAAACACAAACAATGACAATGTCGGTAAGTGTTTGTCATGTTTAATTGCCAAATTCAAGTTTAATGAAATTTGATCAAAACTTTACATATGGTAGTTCTAATTTATACTTGTCTTTTAAACTTGTTGAAGTCATCAAGGAGTAAAAGAGTATTTTCTCAAAGAGATGTGGGTGAACATAGGCCTTCACAAGCCTATGTTCCAATGTCTACTGATTCTTTCATGTCTCCTTCTCGACCACCAAAATCGAGTGCTTTTGAACATGATAGTTTTAAAGCGAATTTAGGGTCAAAGAATGCATTTGATTCTACCAAAGGAAACAGTTTAGTACAACAGGAAAAAGAAAAGGTATGTCAGTACTTAAACACAATTTTGTATACTAAAGTATATCAGATTTTTTTTACAAATTATATATGCGTTTTTTGTTATCAGAGTTATTCCATTGGTACGAACAACCCAACCCAGACATGCAAGGAGCAGAGAACTTTAGAACAGCATAAAACTCTTTTACAAAGAGAGAGGGTTCATGTGAGTTTATTTTTTTCGTACTAATGTGAATTGGAGTTCAAAATATTAATCACCATTCTTATCCTAAATTAGACCAGAGATGATTTTACAAAGTTTGTATTTGTTATTTATTATCAGAGTAATTTCACTAATGCTGTGAACAAGTTAGGAGAAGGTGGATATAGTGCGTTTACTCCCATGCGTGATAATGCATGTACTCCCACCCCATTTCATGAGCTTATTACCGCACATATGAAGGCAAGACATCAACCCCAGCCCACGACCTTCACGCCAAGATTCTTCAACAACTCCCCTACACCCTTCATCAAGAAGCCAAGCCATCTCGAATCGAAAGCGACGTTGACCACTAAAAGTTAGACTTTCACGATCAAAAATATCAAGAAAGAGAGCTGAGTGGTCGGACGAACGGACAAGACAATTGTACACTTTAGTTGTCTCAAAAACACAGGTCCAGCTCTCGTTAGCCACTGCTCTGTCAAGCTTCTCCTCCACCCAAGCATCTGTACCTTTTCCTCTTTCCCACGTGTAAGGATATCCCACAAAAGGAACTTGTTCCAAGCCACAATTCTCCAGTGCATCTCCAAAACCCTGAAGTAAGCAATCAGGGTGTGGAGAAGGGCCACGTTTCTCATGCTGAAAAAGGAGATCGTTGAAGTCGCCAATGACCACCCAAGGAAGAGAAGAACTCGAGCTCAAGTCACGCAAGAGGTTCCAAGAAGCCACATGTCTAACCCGCTCCGGATAACCATAGAAGCACGTCAATCTCCAAGGGGGTAGTCCCGGAAGATTAACACCAATGTCAATGTGATTTCGAGAAAAGCTATGCAACCGAGCAGTGTTATTTCTCCTCCAGAAAAAGGCTAGCCCGCCGCTCAACCCAACTCTATCAACGTAGAACAAACCTTCAAAGCCAAGTTTTACTCGCACCCTCTCTGCATGCTCCCGTCCCACCTTCGTCTCCATCAAAAAAACAAAATTGGGCTTCTTAGTGGACACCATGTCCACTATTTCACGAACTGTACGTGGGTTGCCCAACCCACGACAGTTCCAGCTCAAGGTACTCATGGCCGCTGGCGGGCCTGGAAACCAGAACCCGCCATTAACAAGTTTTTTTGAGCCTCTGCCATTGTGACATCATCGCCAATACTCTCTGTCTCCAAACCCCCCGCATCCCTACGCCGCTTAGGCGCCACAAACAAACTACCTTCACCCACCTTAGCCTTCCCATGAGCATTAACATCGACAGTCTGGCTGCTCTCCTCTAATTCCTCTGGCCGACCACGATCTTGGACCAACCACCTCTCCCCAACAGCCCTAGGTCCCCTTCTGACCCCCGCTCGCAACCATGACCCGTACGGATATTGATCAATATTAAGTTCCGACTCCCTGGCTGCTAAGCAGAATTTATCTGAGTGACCAAGGAGGCCGCAGTAGAAGCAGAACATATGAAGTCGTTCATACTTAAAGTTCACCCAACACCAAGTGTTATCCCGCTTTATTAACTTCATACGGCGTTTTAAAGGTTTAGCGACAGAGATTGAAACCCGAATCCTGTAAAAAGCCTTCCAAACACCACTTATCTGACGCTCATCGAATTTGATAAATGTCCCGATGAAGTTACCAATCTGTTCCAGAACTGCCCCCGATGTATAACCAAATGGAAGATCGTGCAATTGAACCCACATGTCAACTGAATCTAACATTAACTGACCTGGAATCTCGCCGTGTAGAAGTTGTTTGCAGACCAGAGTACTACTCTCGAAGGCCCAGGGACCCTCATCCAGCACCCTTTGCATATCAGAACGATGGAAGAACACAAAGATAAAAAGGTTTGGTTGAATCTCCGTAATTTGAACCCCTCTTACCGGTCTCCAGACGGAAGCCATAACTTGGCGCATATACTCGACCTTAATCAAACGATCTGTTAAGAATCTGCCCACCAGCGTCCATGATTCCTTGACCGGCGCATCGACTTTATCCGAATCTAAAATTATAGGAACAAGTCCCACTTCCTCCTCTTCCAGAACGATGTCAGCACATCGTGCAGTAATAGTATCGATTGAAGCCTCACCAGACGCAGCCATAGCCAGAGAAGAAAGCAAGAAGAAGGAAATTGAATGAACCCTAGACGGCTAGGGAGAAAATCAAAAAAGCTGAGGGAACCCTAGACGACGGCTAGGGAGAAAAATTTCAAGCCTTCAATTATTAAAGAATAAAGTAAAGAATTCAGGAAAACTAGCTGATTTGAGCATTGACATTTATTCACTTTCATATAAGATCAGACAAAACTCACAAACAAACATTCCTAACTCACCCTTTTAAGTGAGGCTCTTGCAGCTTTGCTTGAAGTTGATGATCAGCTAATACTCCAGATGAACCAAGTGCTGCCAGTTTCTCCTTCAATACAGACACTGCATAGAACATAACACGGCAACCTAAAATGCACCTGAGTCCCCCGTGGCACATAGTTCTATTTCTGAGGGAAAAATAAAAACCAGTACTTGGCCAGTATTAAGCAACCTTAAAACCAGATTTAAGCCAGTACAGAAGCTAGTGATTTCATAAATACAAAGTATTTAGGTTGCTCAAACAAATACCAAAAAAATACATTCAGGAACGGCCACAAATGCTGCCAGAAAATCAAACTTCAAACCCAATTGATGAACAAATTGCACCAAACTTTATAAACAGAATGGATTCAAACAAAAGCAAGGTCAATCAGATGCTCAAACCCTCATGAAGAAATTAACCAAAATCATCATACTGGGGGAAAATTAAACATTATAACCTGATTTGGGAAAGAAAATTACCTGGAATTGAGTAAGCTAAAGACAGGAAACGAGTGGCGGACGGAGCTCTTGTTCCTCTCGCCGAATCCCTAGAAACAGCAGGGAAAAACCAAGAAAAAAAAGGTCTCTGGTCGAATACTGTTGGTCGTCTGAAGGGAAGGAGTGGCTGAGGGAGAGCTTGTACGCAGGCGGCAGCGGCAGGACTTCAGCGAAACAGCGGTTGAGGAGAGATTGTGAATCTGGGGAGAAATTTTCACCAAAAATACTTCAACAACGAAAAGGGAACTTAGGCGGCAATCCCAATTGGATTGCAGCTGTATTTTTCAGGAATAATAACTATTTCTAAATAATTTTATTTTTTAATACTCCCGCTGTTCGGTGAAACATGGGACTTTTGTTTTTTAGAAATGATTTAAGGATAGTGTATTTTGATATTGAATTTCCAAAAATGTCCTTTGATGTGATGGGTAAAAAGTATGATTTGATGGATAAATTATTAGTAAAAAGGTATGATGTGATAGGTAGGGTATGAAAAAGTAAAGGATAAAAGTGACTTTTTAATAGAAATGAGAAGTGTTTTGTGGTACGGATGAAAAAAGAAAGAAGAAAGGTTTTATGGGACGGAGGGTGTATATTTTAGTTTGGCCAATATAGAAATATATAAATATATAATGAGAGTATTAACTTTAAAACAAGAAAAATGAAAAAAAATTGTCATTAAAAGTAAAACTCCTTTTAACTAGAGTTTTTTTCCCTCATTAAAAATGTATTAATAACACATTTAGGGAGAGTATTATCAACCCGTCATAATTGATCCGTAACTAAAAATCTTTTTTCTTGTAGTGGGATAATAGCACGAAAAAGGGGCAATAAGTGGTGGTTCAAGCTTGAAGAGATGGTGTCAACCTAGCACTACAAATCTTTTTGCACACATTAATTTGTTTTTTCTCTTCAATTTCGATACATTTGGATATATTTATAACTCATGTTTTTAGACACAAAATATATATGTTGGATGATCGACTTATTGTTAGATCGATCTTAGTATTTGAATTCAAATATACTTTTTGTTTTTGGATATATATCAAAATAAAATTGTGTATATATTATTAAAATAATGGTGAGTGTGTGTTGTTGGGAATGAAACACACAACACACACACAAATAATCTTCGAGAAACGAGAGAAACAGAACACAAACGACACACAAGAATTTAACGTGGTTCGGTTTCCCTAATCCACGGCTGCAACAGGAGGAATTTCTTATTTCACTTGTGATACCTCGATTACAAATACAAGCCCTCTATATATAGGGAAAAAGCTAGGGCTACGCACAACTGGGCCAGGCCGACAAACAACCCTCCACAAAGCCCAACATTCTCCCACTTGGAGGCTTGATAATCATCAACTGCCATCCTCTACGATCGCCTGTACATCGAGTGTTCTTCCTCAGTTCTCCTGTTGCAGCGGCCCTATCATCAGACAACTGAAAGGCCCGTTGAAGCTCTCCCAAGCTCCAACACATCAGTCACGGCAAAATCTGCCCCTGACTCGTCCTCGGTCCCTACCGGCTCCCACTGCAGACGCACACTACTGGATCCTGGAACATCCTGAGAACAAACAATCTCCGTACTTAGCAAGAAATTTTCTGGAGATGTTCCAACAGCTGGAATACTGGTTCTCCTGACCCACTGTCTTCTAGGCAACTTGGCTGAAGCGCCTCTTGAGCTCCCACTGCCACAAATACCTCTGACTGGCCTCCTTGAACCTTTCCACACTCGTTCATCCTGAGTCTCACCAGTGGCTCTAGGTTTCTCTCTTGCAGAGACAACCTTATTCTGCCCATGAGACTCTGTGAACCGGACTTCGTTTTTCTTCTGAACTGGGACGGTCACTCCCTCAGATGGTAACTCGACCATATACAGCGAACCACTCTTTCTTCCGCGGGCCATGACAAGATTTCTCTTTATGACCTTCCACTGCCCATCTCTGAACTTCACCTCGTGTACCTGTTCGTCCAACTGCCTGACATAAATCAAACTTTTCTTCAAGGCTGGAACCACTCTGACATCCTTCAAAGTCCAGAAACCGAATGGGGCCTTCAACACCATGTCACCCATGCCCGTCACCTTAAGAGCTCTATCGTCTGCTAGTCGTACCTTTCCAAAGTCTCCAAAAACTAGATTCTGCAATGCTTCACTGCTGTGGGTAGCATGAAATGAAGCACCAGAATCCATGACCCAGGAATCCACATTGCTTTCCTCACAGCAAGTCAGAGCGACCTCCTCGTCACTCGCAGAGCCTTGAGAAATGTTTACTTTCTTATCATTCGGACATTGATTCCTAAAATGCCCCACCTCCTTGCACTTCCAGCACGTTACACCTGAGCTATCCCGAGTTTTCGACTGACTCCTTCGTCTGTTCCCGCTCCCACTACCTCTGTTATTTCTTCTACCTCTACCAACATGAAGCAATTCACCAGATGACTCCCCTGAACTCTTTCTTCTGAAATCCTCGCCAAGAACGAGATCTCGAATCTGATCAAAGGTGAATCCATCGGGTCCCACTGAACCGGTAACTGCTGTAACCGTTCCGGACCAACTATCAGGTAAAGACGATAGCAGTAGCAAAGCTTGAACTTCATCATCGAACTTAAAGCCCACTGACAATAGTCTGGCTAAGATCGAATTCAACTTGTTGATATGCTCGGTAACTGAAGTGCCTTCTTTCATTTTTGTGTTCACCAGCTCTCTTATCAGAAAAACTTTGTTCGCTGCAGATGGCTTCTCATACATGTTAGACAGCGCGTCCATAATTCCCTTCGCTGTCTTCTCCTTCAGAATGTTGAATGCAACATTCTTGGTCAATGAGAGATGGATCACGGACATAGCTTTCCGATCCAAACTTGCCCAATCTACATCCGACATCTTTTCTGGCTTGTCACCTAAAACCACGTCCAAATCTTTCTGAACCAGCAAATCTTCAATTTGCATCTTCCACCAACTGAAATCTGTACCATCGAACTTCTCAATTCGGAACTTCCCGTCTTCTGCCATCTCAAACGACTGGACGAGATACCCGGTACAAAAATTTTAGATCTTGGTAATTTTGTCAGAAAAATAGGTCCACCACTTCAATTAAATTAGCCCAAACCAAAAGTCCAAATCCAATAAAAAAAAGACCAAGAATCACAGTACTGCCCGTCCCTTCTTTTCTCCTTTCGGCGACTATTCACGGTCACGCGGGGCGGCCACAACACCAGCTGGACAGCAACGGCTCGGCGGCGGCGTAACCTGAACCTTCGGCCGCGTGTGGATGACTGAACACGGACAGCGGCGAAGGCGATCTGGATGGCGACGGCGATTCGGAAGGTGGGTCCTGGGCGGCGCGGCCTGCTGCTCGCGACGTCCTACCCAGCGACTGCGGCGGTCGGCGGGAGGCCAAGGCTGCGCGATGGCGGCACCGAGGCAACCCTAAGGCTGCAGCTCTCTCCCCTGCTGCGCGACTCACTCTGGCGCGACCCTCACAGCGGCGACAACTGAGGACGGCGACGGCCCTGGATCTGCTATCGATGGCGGCGGCGGTTCCCCAATGTGGCGCGGCGGCTTCGATTGCACGGCTAGATCTCTGCACCCGGTCCCTATCGCTCCTTCAATTGAACGACCACACACACGGACGATCTGGATCCCACACGGTTCTTCACACAAGAACCTTAGGTGACAAATCTTCTCGTAATTTGTGCTCGTGTTGAATAACCTTGCTCCGATACCACTTGTTGGGAATGAAACACACAACACACACAAATAATCTTCGAGAAACGAGAGAAACAGAACACAAACGACACACAAGAATTTAACGTGGTTCGGTTTCTCTAATCCACGGCTGCAACAGGAGGAATTTCTTATTTCACTTATGGTACCTCGATTACAAATACAAGCCCTCTATATATAGGGAAAAAGCTAGGGCTATGCACAACTGGGCCAGGCCGACAAACAACCCTCCACAAAGCCCAACATGTGTGTGTGTGTAGGGGTTGGTTTCAATAAGAATGAGTTACTACGAAAGAAATAAGAATAAACAGCATCCATTAGATGTGATGAAA